ATATTCTTTTACCTTGCAAAAGCACATGGATTAATGCTTGTTTTAGTTGATTATTCGACTGTCGGCTCTTCTTCGAGATCTACACTACTTGCCAATTGTATAATTGTACTAGGCAAGTCTCTTTCTCCTGTTAAATTATGTAGTCTAATTATTGTCGTTGTGTGGATCAAATTTTCAGTACGAATAATTTAGGAATGTAATTTTGGTTTTGCCATAATTTTTCTTATAAACAAGAATTCGATATTAAGATTTTATATAATCATGAGAGAGAGAGAGAGAGAGAGAGAGAGAGAGAGAGAGAGCGAGAGAGAGAGAGAGAGCGCGCGCGCGCGAGAGAGCGAGCTGGTATCCTTTTACACTAATATGATTTCACTCAGAAATCATAGAATATACTCTCAGTAAGAACAACATAGCCGAGAGAGAGAGAGAGAGAGAGAGAGAGAGAGAGAGAGAGAGAGAGAGCGAGCGAGCGAGCGAGCGAGAGCGAACAGTGTGCACGATTTTTCTCTTGTAAACGTCATTTCATTACAGTGAATTGCTATAACGACTGATGAGGACGTGGTAGTCTCACACTGAGATGAATCTCTATAGATTTTGCATATTCTTTTTGTTTTTTTTATTTTCTTACTGCGACTTTATTGTTCTTTATGATATATAATTAGGGTTTCTAATTTTTTACATCGATCTTCTCCCAATTCCAAGCATCTATTTCATTGAAAATGACATCCCTACTCGCAGTTACTTTATTTCATGTGTTGCACATGACATGAATCACATGTAAACACGAGAGAATTAATTTGACAAATTTTCTGGCACGCCAAGAATGTTATGCTATGAAGGACAATCTATGTAGCTCTTTTCAAAGTGTAACTGTTGGGGATGTAAGAATTTGTCGCTCAATTTGACAGAAAATGGTAAAAATGGCACCAATGGTACTGAAGGTTGGAGACAATAAAAATTTGATATTGAAGGGTCGATATGACTCTTTCCCTATTAATTGTTTTGAGGGAAATAATAAGGAACACATCATGGGGATCAATTTGCACAGAAATTGAAAGTTTGAGGACTAATACCAGATAACAAAATTATTAAGGAGGCCTTATTTTTAGTTGTGAAAGTTTGAGGGCCTAGCTGCAATCTTCCTTTAAATGGGACCCATACGAGTTTTACACTTATATACATTTTCATTCCTATATTTAATTTCACCGGCCACGATGGAATATGTAAACAACAAATAGTTTCAAATATTAATTAGTATTGATGAGCATACTTTGGCTAAGCAAAAGATTACTTATAAGTAAACAGGTAAATTATAAAATAAATAATTTTATTTGTTAAAGTTAAGTAAGTTACTTACTTACCGTGACATTAAGATAAAAGTTAATTTAAAAGAAGTAACTTATTTTTCAAAGGATGAAATGGGATATGTGCTCAAAAGTATTAGGACTATATTGCAATGTACATTTATTTGTGTCTTTGAAATTTTTATTGTATTTATGTATTAATCGAGCGATTAATTGCATTCGATCTCTATGCGATAACACAAGTTGGGTGATTGCATAGAGAAGTGAAGAGAGATGCTACTTGTAATTCGATCGAGAATTATTTGGTCATAGAATGGTGATGTCGTAGAATCGGCTATTCTATTAATTGAGGTATGTGATTTGTCTCGCCTATAGCGAATTGATCTCGGACGTAATGATACTAATATACTTGAAAGTGCATTGGATAAGACCACTGTGTAGGGCTTAATTTTATAGTATGATCATATGAAGAATTAAACTTCACATGAATGTAATGCACAATCCATCGAAGCTATTTTCGAGCATCGAGTAACGTATTTGTAACAATGGGATCATCGTTCATCATTGAATTAAAATGCATTCCAACTTCACTGAAGAATATAAAAGTGACCTTTCTTCTCAGGGATGGAGCTAAGCCAGACCGGTGAGGCCTTGGCCTTTTAATTTTTTCAAAAAATTAAATTAGCCCAGACTCAAGTCTAAAGTCTTGAGCTTTTCGTTTTTTGAAAACCCAGCCCAAACCCAAAGTCAGTCGTTTCAATTTTCTCAATATTCAATCAGTCTTAACTATAAAAAATAAAACCAGAAATCCAAACCCATTAAAAGTTATTTATAAAGAACTTATAGTTCAAAAAGTAGAGGATCTCACGAAATATGTGAATAATAAGTGTGAATATGTGATTAAAATTAAAGTTTGACCTTAATTGCAATTATAAACAACTTTTACCGAAACCCAAACATAATCAAACCGACGAGAGGATCCAAAGTGATGATCCACAAAAATATTATTTGATTCGTCGATCTTCGAAAAAATAAATAAGCAAAGTTTCATTGTTAAGTGACAAATGAAAAATTTATGAAAATTTACAATTCTAACCGTGGAATAGTGTGCCTACACACCTTCATTGGCGGTGTTTTAATTTCTACTAGAAGACAATAGCTAACTATCGAGATTATGGACTATTTATGGACGATAACACATCCTATTTATGATACTAAAGCATTTATGGATGATAACACATTCTATTTATAACATTTTGACAATGTTTAGTGAATCGTCGATATTACTAGACAAGAAACCGTTGCAGAGTAATCGAATGTCTAATACCAGCCATTACTATCCAATACGAGCCATTAACCAATACTAGCAATCACATCAACTAGCTAGTTATTTTATTTCTTCTAGTTGGTAGCATAGAGAACGACAAGATTGTAGTAACTAACCTTTTTTTGGAATTAAGCTCATGTTTGGTGTACGGATTCTTTAAAAAAATTTCTCGAAACTTATTTTCAATAACATTCTTCCAATAAAATAATTTTGCACATTGACTTGTAATTTTCCTTACTTTTAAATCACACATTCTCCAAAAAATTCACTTTTCATAAAATCTATTCTTAAAAAAACTCTTTACCATATCAAGCTTTAGGATGTATTTGGATGGAATCCGACTCGCTCAACTTTACAAAATCATTGACGCCCATATGATGAAAAAATGGTGACTTTGTATAAACATAATCCCAAATTATTGCATTTCCAATCACTTCACCTTAATCACCATTTGATATGACATAAAACTATGGAAAAATTCTTATGTACAGAAAAATGCCTCGCAGAAGTGTTTCAGATGCCGCGTTGGCAGTTTTTGATTGGATCTATTTTTTTGTGAAAAATCGCCAAATGTCTATCTGTAAAAATTTGTGCATCCATTCATTGCCTACATCATTAATCCTGCCCAAATTCCCTGTTTTTCGATCTTGGGATTCATTTACGGGTATGTTTAACTTTTTCTTTTTTTGGTTTTTTGAGGTGAAGGAATTTTTGTTATGAATTCTTCATCGAGCCTTACTTGACTATCGAAAAGATGAGTGCATTATATGTATGAAATAGTTAACCAAAATTCGACTTTATATTTTGGAAAAAAAAAAATAATATATACACAAGGAACACAATAATATTTTACTATCATATATGCAAAACACTGTACTTTCTTTCGATATATACCTAACTTCTTTACGAGGATTTCCACTAGTACTTATGGCAAAACAAGAAATATTTATGATTCTCCTTTGTCTGAAGTGCCCCCCACCTTATCTAAATCACCCTGTTTGAGTTGGACCATAAACCTAATTTTTAAAAAGGGATTCATTCATATACAGCACGATGTCCCAAAATACATTTATCTAGCATCAAGTTGTCATCGGATCTTGTTTTGTAGAAGAAGTTGTTGATCTCGAAATATGACGATGCCATGTGGTCGATAGATCATAGCTCCTCTTCCATTCATATATATGTTACGTGCACACTTAAGACAACCAAGTTAAACTGCTCTTGAAAGTTGCTTCGACAGGTGGATGATAGCCGCGAAACACTCCGACACTCAAATCAAACAGTGAAGAAAATATGTAAATAGCAAGAGACATAATGAACAAGAATATGGGTGTCGGATTTGAAGAGAGAATACAAGATTTGCAATGTGTGAAGATGGCGCTCATAGTTTCATTACTAGAATAACATTAGCTTTGGGAAGCACAATTGTACAAATATGAGCTTTTATAGTACGAGAAAATAGGCGTTTATTAAACGTTTGACAGGTAACCTCATCTTGATATATCACAAGTCAAAACGTGTCAATTACAAATGTCGTAGTTCCGTAGCCGCCTGACACATGCCGAAAAATCATGCTGAAATTTCCACATAGCCGACATAAATTGATTTCCACAGTATTTTCAATAGATATTGAACATGAAATGATGAAGGAAGCAATCGATTGGAGGTACAGCAAATTAAGTTAGGTCAGGAGCTGTTGACATAAAGTGTTGAAAGCCATGTTTGGTGATGGCAATAAATGACATTTCAAATTATTTTTTTTCTCAAATTTGGTGTTCAACCGACGGTGGGGTGGGGTTTTATGTTTGTGGGGGTGGGGGTGGGACTGTTACTAAAACACATTTGAAAAATTGTGATTTTGGATCAAGAATGAAAAATGTTACATTTATGTAAGGTAAAAGTTATAAATCAAGACCTTTTCCCATTTTATCCCACTTTATTTTGGAACCTTTTGATAAAGTTGTTTTAACGTCCCCGTATTTACAACAGTTCGGTGACTTTATATGCAACAGTTACAGTTCTATATAATAATAGAATATCGATAATTACCATGAAACTACACTATTCATGATCGGTATCTCCATCAACTAACTATTATCGACACATCATTAATCTAATTGATCATCGAAGGAGACACCGTTTGTGATTACCATCGGCATTATCAATGGAAGCTTATGCGTATTGGAGAATTCCGCAAGAAATCTCTCAAATTCTTATAATCAAATTCTATCCATAACAACTTACGAGTTAACAAATTAAAAAAAAAAAAAAAAACACATTTGAATGTCTTTTCACTGCTCAAATCTGTACATTCATGTTTGAACTGTAAAAAAATCCATAAAATGGCAGTAATATAATGTCTCTACGAATTAAAACAAAGGCACAGCTATTGGAGGCGGCTTTTGAATCTCAAAGATAAATCTATTATGTGTAGGCGGCCGACATGGACATGGTAATGCTACGAACTTGGGAAAATTATCACCAGGCATCATAACTGGCAAAATCTCATTCTGCTTCTCCTTTGAACTCTGCAATACAATATAATTACTCGTTTAGAAATTAGAACTAAAAAGTCTTAATATTGAGAAAAAAGGTACATTTTTTTTAGAAAAAAGAGGAATTACCATGTGGGTGATTTTAAGTTTGGAGTGGCCTTGATCATCATTTGCCCCGAGAGCAGAGAAAGAGCGCCGAAAGGAGCGGAGTTTTTCCCAGTGATAGCAGCATGAGAAGATGCCACTCAAGCTAAAAATGATAATCAAGAGAAGGGCTGTGCCGAGAGGGAAGCCGAGGGACGGCCGAGATGCCTCGCCGTGTGAATGATATGTAGTGTTCTCCATGGTTACCTACTCTTCCCACTCCCCACATTAAGGGGTTCAAGAAAAGACCAAATCTTTTGTTTGGAGAAAAAAGGATTAGAGGGCTCTTGAATGTGTACAATGTGAAGGGGTGGTGAGAATTTATAAAGCTATAAAGGTACATATTGTGTCCGGGGTAAGGTACGGAAATACGAGGGGTACCCCCCACGTTGCTTTCATACTGTTAAGCATGATGGAATTGACTGTGCTTTATGTAGTTTATCTTTTGGTAGTGAAGCTTGAAAGGTACGTTTCATTTGGTGGGGATTAAGCTATAAAGAGAGAGAGAATGAAGGCACAAAAGGTTTAAAATTTTGGTGTATGCTGCTATGGTTCTTCTTTCTTCTGTCCACATTAAATACGACCATGTGGTCCATATATTGTATCGAGTAGATGTGCATTAATTCTTAGGGTCATGTTTTCTAGAGCGAATTGAGATACACCATAGAAGTTCTTTATTATGCCGTCTAGTCATGTTTAGAGTTACGTATTGAGCATGGTGTTACAAATGAATTGGATAAAAGTATCATTGTTACTCAATTAAGGAAACATTGATGTATCAGACTTTGAATAGATAAATGAGAAACTATGTCGAAAATAAGCATTTTCTTGCATTGTACGAGCTGAAAATCTCGGAACTAGTTTCTTATACGTGAACTCATAATCCAGTGTGAATTAAGCCAATATTTGAGCCTCATTTTTGGAATAAATTTTGCAGAAGATAATATTTTGGAAAATATTTGATTAAAAAATTTACATGCAAAATTATTATATTAAAAGAATGTGTAATTGAAGATAAGTTGTAAGGAATGTAGTTCAAACCGGGGCTAAGTTCGATAAATATAATGGCATGAGAGAAGCATTTTGTGACCCTTTTAATTCTTAAAGGATAAGAATTAGAACACGAGAGAAAATGTGGCCCCATGTTGCTATAAAAACTCATTTTAAACCATATTTTTTCAATAAAATAATTTTACATATAAATTAAATTTTTTCTTACTTTTTAACTATATATTCTCTAAAAATTACTAATACAAAATCACATTATTTAAAAAACAAAGGGGGCTCAAACACACCCTCGTTATATCCTTGAAAAAGGTGCATAACAGTACTTTGATTTTTCCCCTATTTCGTACATTCTGATGTACAGTAAGATATTTCGAAAGGAATCCAAGTTTGAAACGTTTACAGAAGTATTAATTGGACATTTTTCTTTTTAAACAGAATAGGAATCTGTAGCAGAAAAGATCTAAAAGGTCGTTGATGTCAGCCGCATATATTGACATATTCTATTTGGCAGCTTTATATACTGGGCCCAATTCTGTGCACTCCACTCCACTTCACTATTTGGATGGAGCTGATAACCAGGTCCACCAGCAAAACCATCACTGTAGATATATGTCAGCTTGGTGGCCAATTTGTCTCCTTAGAATGAAAATTTTGATGCTTAAAGGTAGCAGTTTTGGCCACCATCACACTATCTCAAGGCATGCTTTAAGCTAAGAAGCCAGTGTCGAAATGGGGCGAGCTTGGAACCGAGCTGGGCATGAGCTGTAATGAAGAAAAATATAGGCTGGCCTGTCACAGATCCCAAGCCCCTATAAACGGGCCATTCGTGACTATCTGCAACGAGCAAACCTATAAAGTTTTAAAGAGGAAATTGTTAGGACGGATATATCGATTTGATTCTCTATCCAATGTAGTCGAGTCAAAGTACTTTTGTACGCAAACATGTGAAAGGTAGCCTATTGTCAGTAATTCTCTTTCACTTGGAACCTTTATTTGCCACCATTTCTGACTTTATGTTGTCAATCGTTGGTTGACATAGCTACAAAAAGTATGTACAACACAAGTATCAAACAAATGTCTCATACTCATTCCACTATATGGTCCCGACAGGACTACAAACTCGTAATCAAATCCAATAAGCAAGTTTAAAAACTAAAAAGGGGCTACCAGGCCGAGACTGGGCCACACGTTGGTGCACCTTTAAAGAACCGTGTCAAACTGGACATTCTTGCTCAGTGGTCCATATGAAGCAGCAGCACACAAAGTAACCGCGTATATGTTGTTTCGTGTTAGACATTTGAGTCTACAGATCCATGTGAACGATACGAGTTACATTTTAAAAAATGGAAGCGACGTACGACAGCTCTCTGGCCTTTGCTACTTCAAATCAAAGAGAGTCGTTCGCAATCCCGGTGATCAGATTTTGATTTCTAAAAGAGAAGAATTTCTTCTTATAAATACCATACACAATACCTCTTAGAAGTTGAAGATTTTACTTTTTATTTGTGTTAACTTCACATGAACATCGAGGGCAAACTGGCAAAGTTTAAGGTCCAAAGATCAAAGGAAAGGGTATGCTGATCAAATCAACTTATTCCCTTATTCGAATTCTTGATTTGATCAACACAAATAAACCCTTTTTTCCTCTTTGAATGAATGTCCAAAGCACTAGAATGAATGTGCAAAGAACATCCGTTTCCAGTTCATCAAACAGTAACATCAAGATCAACTTCAGTAACGTACTGTAGATGATAATTACATCTATTCAGTTTAATTAGAGTTTTATTTTTATTTTTCTATTTTTTTTTTTTGTTGAGTGGAGGGTGGGAGGAAGAGGGGAGTGCGGAACGATGCAACGTAATAAGTTTGATACAACACTTGCTCACATTTGAACATACATCACAAATACAACTGCCTACACCGGCCTGCTTCAACCTCAGAAGGGCAGTAAGGACACTTGAATGGACGTGTACTATTATTTTTGGACAACTTTGTGATAGATTGCTTGCAGAGTACATGTCCACATGACAACAGCATTGGAGGGTTCTCTTCACTTGCCTGATCCCGACTCACAGGACAGACAAATATGGAATGGAACTGAAACTCTGTGTCCAAATCCACAGGCACGGGTAACTGTTTCATGGACTGCCATTCCTTTTTTTTACCAGTCATCACATTCATCAGCTTCAGAAGGGTCGGCAAACCCTGGACTCCGGCTGCAATCGTTACACTTAATGGGCTTTCATAGGATTGCCCTATAAGATGACAGAATTGCTGGGTGAGCTCCTCAGCCAATTTGTCCCAGTTCATAGGGGACAGTAGTTCTGCATATGGTGAGGAATCAAGTCTCCCGGCCCATAACAGACAAGCCATAAGCTTTTGGATTTCAGCAATATGACTGGCAGCAAAAGGAGCCAAAAAAGCTCTAGCATATTTTAGAGCTTCATCTAGACTGCGCTTTTGAAGGATTTCCACAAACTGAAGGCGATGGAGTTTCAGTTCAATGTCGGATCCATTTTGTTCGAGTTTTTCTTGGTTGGTAGCAGCCCACTGTAAAGCAGGCTCCAAATTCTGTGATCTCATGGCTTCTAGTATCTGATACATTTCCAAGAAAGGAGATTTCTTAGCTGCAGCTTCTGGTTCCCTCGACTCGTCCACAAAACAATCACCAAGAATAAACTGGCCCTCCCGATAGAAATGATCGGCTATTATTTGGTTAACAGTATGTATATCAAAATCAATATTACGGTAAGCCTTTGATATATCAGGATTGAAGGATTTCTCTAGCAGCTTTGGATATTTGCTCAATGCACTGTTTAATTCTCTCTGGGTGCCTTCCAGCTTGCTAAGTGGAGCAATTTCTTTCAACTTTGCTTTTAGTTCACTTAGGATAAACTCGTGATTACTTTGGGTTGCAGAATCATGACCTGATTGCCTTGATAATGCTTGTTCTATTTCTTGCACAATCTGTTTGATCATTTCTAGAGACTTTGAGGATGATAACTTTTGCTTCTTTGTAACACGATCAAATGCATCTTTTATGGAGTTCAGCTCCATCTCTAAATGGCAAGTCCCTCAGTATAATTAGCTGAAGCAAAAAAGGATGATTACCTACAGGAAAGGGATAAAAGACTGTAAGACTCCTCATATAGAGTTGAGTTATTGAACAACCAGAATATAGTAACCACAAAATGCAGAAACTACCTCTTGGAGTTGTGCACAGAAGGAAAAGGAAGAAATAATAAGCAATGAAAATTGAGGGTAGCGTACTTTTTCTAATTAACAAATATCAATACAACAAGAACACTGAAAAAGGTACAAAGCCCCCGTTTGACAACCATTATTTGAAAACTCTTTATTCTACGTACTCATTTACAACCACATATTCACACAATAATATATTCAGCATGTAAATCCAAAACTTTCCCCTACTTTTTAACCGCACATTATCTTAAAAATCACTATTCAAAATATTGTTTTTTCCCAAATAATGGTTGTCAAACGGGAGCATAATATGAATTAAAATAGCATGACAAATATTATCATTATATGATTGATTATTATGGTATATGATTTACATTCCACTGGTGAAGAGTAGATTTAACAAGTTGAAAGACTGATAAAAATGCACAGGGTGAGAAAAGAAGAGCATTATTTTGATCATTGCAGAATAAGAAGAAAACCTAGAAAAAGCACAATTTGGATATCTTGCCTATTCTTTAAACCAAACTACATGTATATAATAAATCATTCTAGGCATTTCAAACTAAACAATCAACTTGAATCCAAAAACTCAAAATTAAGCACTTAGAATAACAGTGCTGGAGGTCATACTGCATCTTAAGATATATGAGTTATATGTGAACTTTAGCGATACATAACCATCAAAGATAGCCAGCCAGTACTAAATCAACCTGCACTAGAAAAGGACAACTTCATGTTTTGTATGTAATATAAGTGAATCGATACGCATTTTGTTTGTTTCTCAATGCTGTGATGCAGTAAATTCGTTTGGTAACATTGTATTTGTGTTGGATGTGTTTTCATTTAAATAGAAGGATGTGGAAACCTTGTCGAAGGCCACTGTTTTTTCACATGGATATTAGTATTTCATAATTCTTCCTTTAATTCCTTCAAGATTTTTCATGCTCATACTTGAGGGATATGCATGCTTGCTTCTGTGTTGTTAACAA